TTTGAAGGATTGTATATTGATTTTTTATTTTATAAACATATCGTTTTTGTAGGATAATGAATCTTTAACATATTAAAAAAATATTTCGAATAATTTTAAATGAAGCTTTTGCTATAAAATTTTCTTAAGCATTATTTCATCATTCATTGACTTTTATAAGTAATTCGACAATTTTGAATATCAAATCTATAATATGATTTATTATTTAGAATTGTAATATGATTTATTTATAATTATTTTATGATTTACTTAGAAATTATGTTATGATTTATTTAGAATTATTTTATGGTTTATTAAGAAAATTCGTAAAAGTTTATAATTATAATACGATTTATTAAAAAAATTTGTAAAAAAAAAAAAAAAACTATGGAAAATGAACCACAACAATGCTCTGCATTTCTTGGAAATCAGTTAATAAATATTCATTTTGTGTTTTTAATTTAGCGATTTGGAGGAGTAAAGATATTTAAAACAGTTCTAGAAAAAAATCCCGACGGAAAAATCCCCCTGGAAACAATACCTTCCGAAAAAATCCTCTAGAAAAAAATCTACCTCAAAAATTAAAATTTTTTTATAAATATTGTCTTAAAATTAATAAATTGCCTGCTCAAAATAAAACCCTTAGTCAATTTAGCGGTACTCTTTGCATGTTCTATCTATTTATCAGTCAATGTGTGTAAACTCCTTACATGTTCTACCTTTTTGTCAATATATTTGTCAGGCGATGTATACTTCTTAAATGTTTACCTATTTGTTATTCAATTTACAAAAAAAGAAGAATCAAGATTCTGTTTGTATTATATTTTATATGAATATTATATTTATACTATAAACAGCAATAATATTGGTATATCGTTTATTTTATACGTTGTAAAGAAAAATCCTAGGGGATTTTTACCAGGGGAAAAACTTCTCACAGGGATTTTTTCATATAATAAATACTTTTTTTTCAGCCATATTTTACTATAAGTTGTTTTATAGATAAAAAGTAAAAATATAAGTTAGACACACATTACCCCACTAAACGCGTGAATGTGGGTGTATTGAATGCAACTCAAACTTTTTTGGATGCAGTTTACTAAAAATGATGTCTGAACATAATTTTAAAACAATTTTCTTCAAATAAAAATAATTGTTTTACTATATAAATTTTTTGCTCATAATAAAAAATAGGTAATAATAGGCTCAAACTATCCCATTCTACCCAATAAAATATTTTTAAATTAGTTTTACTGGAACAAATGAGATCGTATATAAGGGTAACTAGCCTCATTTTCTCCCCCCTAAAGGTTAATTCTTAATGAGATTTATTTTTACATATTTAAAATTCAACAATTTAGTTATTCTATTAAACTAAAATAACTATAAAACTTTAAAATGTTATTTATTTTTTTGCGTCATTATTTATAAAAGTTATTTTAGTTTATTTTCCTCCGCAACATTGCCTTAAAAAGACCACTGAACAAGATTCACAGATTCCGGTTAATCCTAACTAGACCATCATAGTCTGCAACAAAAAATTGAAAGTAAGTCTATTTGCATGATCAAAGACATGAATAATGAGAAAACAATCAAATAAAATATCGCAGAAAGCACCTTAAAAGACTTTTTATCTTTTTATACGTCTCATAGTTACTTTTCATAGCTACGTCTCTTAGTTATATGGTTAGTATTAACAATTTGATTTCATTTTAACAATACTATTATATATAAAACAATTAAATTCTTAATGAAATGATTTACTCCTCTACTAATGAAATGATTTATTCTCCTATTGTTAAATTTTTTACAAAGCCTCCTAATCGGGGATGCTGGTTCAACTCATCATTAACAGCAAGCGTGCACCAAAAGTAAATATTTTAGAAGAAATAAAATGGAAATTATGGAAGAAAAATTTATTTCATATATATTGCTATCAACACTGAGTTGTTGCTTAAATTCAAGGAGAGAAGAATTCTTTTCAACAGGTATATATTTACGGCCTTCTTTGTGATCTTTTCTATTGAAAACCGTACAAACCGACCGTACAAACCGTACAAACCATATTTCAGGCTTAAAAACATGAGCTGAGCTAAAAAATTTGAGGGGTTATATAATGCACAAAAATATTATACTAAAAATGAAAGAAATTTTTTAATGTGTTGAACGCATATTGATTTTTATTTAAGTCAATTACTTTAACTAAAAATAACCGGCGAATGATAAAAACGGTTTTAAAAATAACATTTAACAAATGTATATAATATTTTTTCAAAAAGATAAATATAATATTTTAATATTTTTTTTAATAAATATCAAACGATTTACAATAAATATCCATAAGTTATGAATTATAAAAAGTTTACTTTATTAAATTTTAATTTGTATTAATTGTTTTCAACTATTGTTTCATAAATATTGTTATTTAGTTTATTTAAGTTTACTGCATTTAGCTGTATTTTAAACGAGTTTTAACAATTTTTTAAACGTAAACCATTTTAACAATAAAAAATAGACAGATAAACGCTGTTGTTATTCATCGGTTTACAAATTCTTAGAATATTTATGTGGTTAAAAGATGTGCTTTGCATCTAATTACTTTCAATTCATTCTTTCTTCATCCTTAATATAATTGTTTTTTTGTTTTGTTATTTTATGTTATTTTTTTATTTTATTTTTTTTATTATTATGTTATGTATGTATGTATGTATGTATGCATATGCATACATACATACATACCTACCTACATACATACATTCATGTATACATACATGCATACATACATACATACATACATACATATACATACATACATACATACATACATACATACATGCATACATATACACATACATTGAGAAAGAAAAAACTATATATTTAAAACAGACAATCTGATCATCATTATAAAAGTTTATTATAATTTATAATAAACTTTTAACATTTTATTTTATATTTTATTTTTGTAAACAAATAATATATTTATTCTTAAAACAAGTTATGCTAGAAATCTCAAAACGTAACAAATAGTTTCTAAAAACATTTCAAAAGATTACCCTTCTTAATTTTGCTAAGTCAGCATATTTTTTGAACTAATAGAATTAGTTTCTTCGTTAATTTGGCGGGTTTTTAGTGTTCGCGAATATTCTTTTTATTCTTTCGCACAAAGATGTTTTGAGAACATTCAGGTGTATTATGTTTCCATGTATGTCCGTAAAACAAAAATTTTTTGTTTCGTACATAAACTTAAATGACTAAAAAACCTGGCCAGTTTTTCGCAACTAAATATAATTTCCGTGGTCAGTATTCGAGAGCGATCGCTACCGCTTCCCGACCAAGCCTGTCTTACAATCCATAATACAAATCCCATGCATGGCTCTACCAAAGGTGTTTTACCATAATGGGACGAGTGAATAACCGTGAATTTCATAAGTGCGAACTGGTGTAAGTACGAGTTCGCATAAGTGCAAACTAGCACATGTGCGAAGCAGTTACAAAAACAGACACAATGCCAAATGGCATAAGTGCAAATGGGTATAAGTGCGCAAAAAGAATTTCCAAACATTGGCACAAGTGCGAATTTGCAAACATTGACATAATTGCGAATTGGCATAAGTGCAAAGCAATTATTGAAATAGTTACAGAAACTGGTATAAGTGCAAACTAACATATGTGCCAATCGGCACATATGTTAGTTTGCACTTATTAGAAATTCACATTCTCATAATTGTGAATTGCCATAAGTGGGAACTGGTATAAGTGTGAAGCATTTGCAAAAACTAGCAAAAGTGCAAACAACATAAATGCAAACTGGCATAAGTGTACCAAATAAATTTGCAAGCATTAGCATAAGGGCAAACTGGCATAACTGCAAACTAGCATAAGGACAAATTACCAATTAGCACCTTTGCCAATGTTTGCAAATTTATAACGCGCACTTATGTCAGTTCACACTTCTGCCAATTTTTGTAACTGTTTTGTACTTATTCAAGTTTTGCACTTATGCTTATTCGTAATGTTTGCAAACTTGTTTGGCGCACTTATGTCAATTCACACTTTTGCCAGTTTGCAAGTTTAAAGCTATTGGTTATCTTAGCTTAAACTTTATTCTAGACAATTCTTTTAACCCAGACAATATTCATATATATGACTACAATAATGGTTACTGTACACTAATGATCTGAACTGCACTAATTGTTAGTATGCTATTTTTTAAATAATAAAAATTAATAGATTAAATTTAATAAAACATTTAGACTTAAATTATGAGAAAAAAGAAAACATTTTAGATTAGAATAGAGTAGTTAATTATAGTTTCATAAATTATAAAATATAATATTAAATTATGTTATTTTTAGTTTTATGACATTCATTCATGATCAAATTTAATATGGCAGCTGGAAAAGACAAAGGATCGTATTGTTTATATATATATATATATATATATATATATATATATATATATATATATATATATATATATATATATATATATATATATATATATATATATATATATATATATATATTAGGGTGTTCCAAAAAAATGACTTTTTTGAATTTCAACTAACATTGCTTTTCATAAGGTGCCCCAACCTTGATTTTACTAATAAATTTTTTTTTTTAGTCATGATTAGATCACTCCATGACTTCCCTCAATGAGCCCAAAGGTCATTTTTTGCCCGTTTTTTGCCCATATTTCGGACTAGCTGAGGGGAGTGTTACCATTATCCAAATTAATTTTTCTTTCTTTTTTTTTGTTGTTTTATATTTTTGAAGGAAATAAAAATATAATGTTAAGCTTAATTTTTTTTTTTTTTTACTTAAACAATGAAGACCAAAAAATTAAAAAAAAGGCATTTTTAAGCTTTTTTGCACTATATTAGTGTTCTGCTTATTAACAAGATACTTTACGTATTAAAATATTTATATTTACATAATAAAATCATATTTATGATTAGTTTCTGAAGAAATTAGTTGTCAAACATAGTTCATGTTTATAAATTTATTTTGTAAACAAAGAATTCTTTACATAATCACATTTTTTTTAAATTGTTCTTTCACTCTTATATTTGTTTGATACGAGGAAGGTACTTTGTCTTTTATCCTCATTATGCGATTTATTGATCAACTCCTATTAAAGAATATTTAAAAGTAATGAGCTTGTAAAATAAATTAAGATTTTAACATAAACATTAAGGACCAAACATATAAAATAGTTACCTGAACTAGTTTTATAGCCCTCTCACTACAGTCATTTACTACTTCAAGATTATTCACAAATTGTTTGAATTCTAAGTAATAGTCATTTAGATCTCATGTCTCAGATCGAGTCTTAAGCCACTGTACTTCAGCATTTGCATGGTTTAAGATATGAAAAATTAACCAACTCTGGTCAGTTATAAGCGGGGTCAAACTTGGGGGAGTATCATCATTAAACATAAGGGAGTTCAGTATATTTAAATTAACTTGATGTCTTTCTATGGCATAAGTTGTAGGTCTTGGGGTTGAGTACAACTTCTTGGCAATGTCACTCCGTTCTTGTACATTTTTGTCAACAAGAGACATAACTAAAATATTTGGGTCTATGTACCAGGTGTGTCTCTTTAGAGACTCTATAACAGGTTTTGCCTGGACAGGATTGATTTTTGAGTATCTCATTATCTGCCAAAGAGCTTTCATATCCTAAAAATTTTTAGACTATGAAATATTACACAAAATTTTCAAAGAAAAAAAAGTAATAAAAAGCAAAATGATTAAAAACTTTTAAAACATAGAAATGTCACCTGATATGGAGCGACAGCCGGAATTTCAGCCTTTATAAACCACTCTGTGTAAAATACATCTGTGAAGAATGCCATATCATTTATTTCTTTCTTCTCAAAATCTGTCAAGCTAGAAATGTTGTTTAGAAGGAGATACATTTTCAGAAAGTATATTCCTTTTGCCATAAATCTGGCATGGTGTACAGGCCCAGGTTTTCTTAGCCTGTACTGTTCATCACCAGATAAAACCATTGTTGTCAATTCCACTAACTCTAGATAATCAGACCTACATCCATCCTAAATAAGATTATTTATTTAGACACAAAACAGTACCTTACTGTTTTGTGTCTAAATAACTGTACCTGCAGCCAGCTATCAGAAATATCTTCAATTTTTACTTTGTTTAACACAATGGAATTTTGATCAATTGAGTTCCATACATCTTTAAGCTTCTTAAACAATGGATTATCTGGACCATTTATTTTACTGCTTGGATAAATATTCCAGCAGTGAATAATATGCCTTTCATAGATGTGATGCCTACATGCTAGGAGAAGTAGTGGTCTATCAAGCTCTGCAGCTAATCTAATGCACACACCCTTTTTATTACCAGTATTTACAGAAGTTGTATCAAAAACGCATCCTTGTAATTTATCAAAAATATCAAATTGATGAAGAAGTTTTATGATTGTATTCTTCTGTGTTTCTCCAGTACTAGAGCTCAAATGAGGAACCCCAAGAAGCTCACTCTGTCCATCTATCCTGATGGAAACAGCAAGTCTGTCAAGTTGATGTTCTATTCCGCTTGTGAACTCCTTAACTATTTTTCCATCAAAATGGAGAATAATTGGTAATGATGAAGATTTAACAAGATCAGTAACGTGCTTTTAAATCTTTTCTCCCTCTTTAGTTACAACTTCTTCTGCAACTCTAAATGCGGTTGAAGAAGATATTGCAAAATTAGTAACATCACCTCCTGAATTAGCAATAACACTTGCCACTATTGCAGTGTGTTGTCTAACTGAAAGTCCTTCACCTATTGCTGTGAGAGCTGTTTTTTTTAAAATATTTTTTGGTAACAAAACAACAGAGGTAGATTGTTCTTTTTTTATATCTGCTACATATTCACAGTCAGAATTATTATCACTACTTGAAGAGTTTTCTAAACTGTATAGATTGTTACCATTGTTTACTTTAATCTCCATGTTTAACATGGAACACAATTTTTTGTGGGATCTCTTAATAGTGTACGTAAACCTTTTATCATTTGTTCCTATTCTTCCTATCCTATTTCCAATTTGGTCTAAGATAAACACAATATCTTCATTTTTGGCTTCGGATGTCCTTCTCCTGTCTTTTATAATATCTTCAATTAGTTCTTCTTTTTTTTTACTAATTCAAAAGCATTTTAACATTTCTTCAAAAAATGCCTCATTCCTTTTCGTATCTGTTGGGCTGTTCCTTTTGCTATTCTTCTTTAACTTGTAATAGTTGTTCACCATTTTATCAATCTTCTTTCTTTAAAATGCAAAATTTATTCAATGTTTAAAATAAAGATAAAAATAAATTTGTTGATAAATTTTGAATTCATAATTTACCTGATATTTTCCAAGGTTATGATAGGGAACCCTGCAAGATTCAATGGCCTTACCAATTTAGACATTACACAACAGTCAGCTTGTGGAGGGCATCTGAGCTCAAATGAATTAATTTCGAAATGACACCTAATTAAAACCGTTTTCTTTACTTTGGGATTCAAGTTTCTTAGATATGGGTAGTATTGCAAAACCTCTATGCCAGTAGAAAGTTTATAACATGAAAGATTTTCTCTAACTTTCTTTACTAGAAATACTTCAACCTTATTTCGAGTAAGCTTCAACTTCTTTTTTGGTGGCATTTTACTATAAAATAACTTTTTTTTAAGTTAATTAGTTACTAAAAAGATAAATGGTAACCAAAAATATAAAATAAGTTAAAAATCAAATTGCATACACAAGGTAAAATATAATTGTTCACAAAATGAAACAATTATACGCGTATTTAAAATATAACAGAAAACACATTAAAATGGTACATAGGACAAAGGTAGTAAAAGGTAGTGAAATATAGTAAAATAAATCAATGTTTTTGAATTTTTTGATCTTCATTGTTTAAATAAAAAAACAAATTAAGCTTAACATTATATTTTTATTTTCTTCAAAAAGATAAAATAACAAAAAAAAAGAAAGAAAAAAATAATTTGGATAATGGTAACACTCCCCTCAATTAGTCCGAAATATGGGCAAAAAAGGGGCAAAAAATGACCTTTGGACCCATTGAGGGAAGTCATGGAGTGATCTAATCATGAAAAAAAAAAAAAATTATTAGTAATATCAAGGTTGGGGCACCTTATGAAAAGCAATGTTAGTTGAAATTCAAAAAAGTCATTTTTTTGGAACACCCTAATATATATATATATATATATATATATATATATATATATATATATATATATATATATATATATATATATATATATATAAACAGTGGTCAAGGTGGGGTGGGATGCCATCCCATCACACACACACACACACACACACACACACACACACACACATATATATATATATATATATATATATATATATATATATATATATATATATATATATATATATATATATATATATATATATATATATATATATATATATATATATATATATATATATATATATATATATATATATATATATATATATATATATGTATATATATATATATATATATATACAGTGGTCAAAGTGAGGTGGGATGCCATCCCATCATATATATACATATATATATATATATATATATATATATATATATATATATATATATATATATATATATATATATATATATATATATATATATATATATATATATATATATATATATATATATATATATATATATATATGTATGTATGTATGTATACACACACACACACACACACAAAAATTGTAAAAATTGTAAATATATAGTTTATTCTTTTAGTTTGTGCATCGACTGCTCACTAATCATAAACAGAGTCGATTGTCGATGCAATAATTACTGATTCGTTAAAGCGGGCAACTTCTACTTGTGTTAAAGTACCTTAAATCCAACAGATATCGTCGTTACGATATTAATTTGTTTGTAAATTGTTTTAGAAAATTAATTTAAAAATAACTTTTAAATAAATTTTTTATTTTTCTTGTTTTTTTAACCAACAGGTTCTTTTAAACAATTTAATAATAGTCCCTATGGTCTTGGAATATTTTATGAAAAAAAACGTCTTTTAAACGTAAAAAGACAGGTTTTTTTGGTTTAATTTGGTTTTTTTAAGAACGTTTTTTAAACGTTTTTTTTAGAACGTTTTTTAAACAACTTTTTTAGAACGTTTTTTAAACTAAGCTATTGCGATATCAGTATCGTAGTATCGAAACATGCTAAAATATCGACATTTTGACCAGGTTCGATATTGAATTGTCGATATTGTAATTTTTTTAATAATATCGAAGTTTCGATATTATTCGATATCCTTTCACAGCAATATCGAAAGATTCTCGATATTCAAACTAAAATATCGATACTAATATTCAAACTTTAATAAAAATCAACTGTTATACTCTAAACTGTCCCTCCTAAAATTTCCCAGCTAAACTTTCCCGCCAAACTGAAAAGTAATTAAAAATGCTAAAAATTAAGTGTAAATTAAAAATTGGGTAAAGCTACAGTTAAGCGGCCTAAAATAATTATATTTTTTCGCTTTTTAAAAACACAATGGAGCGTATTTTTAAAGCGAAACTTAATTATGTTATGTAATAATAAATGTTACGGGTTGTGAATTTGAAATTAAAAGATTTAATTAAAAGTTGAAGTTTTATATTAAAGTTGAAGGTAAATAAATAATAATTATAATCAAAGTAAATATAAATTATAATCAAAGTAAATTCTAAGTAAATTATAATTTAAAATTCATTCACCTCAACTTCCAATTTTGTCTAAAGCTGCTAAGAAAGTCTTGTGTGTCCCAGCGTCATCAACTTCTTCAGAGCGTGTGTTTTCACAAGCCGGAAATATTGTGTCATGTTAAAGAACTTTACTAAAAGCCGAGACAATAGAAAACCTTGTGTACGTTAAAATCAACATTAGTAAAGTTACTATTAAAAAATGGCTAATCGAGGAAGAAAATGTTTCATCAGCTGACGCGATAGACTAATTTTTGTTTTGTAAAACTGTTTATGAAAAAATATACAATTAATTAAGCTATAATTTTTTTTCCAAATTGCTAAAACATATTTCAAATATTGAAGATAACTTACGGTATTAGACCCTTCAAATTCCTCTAATTAGAAAAAATGGGTCTTGAACACAAAAATAGCATTCTAAAATTCTAGAATCTCGTTTAATATCGTATAATATCGTAAAATATCGAACTGAATATCGATAAGTTCGAAATTCAGTAAAAATATATCCAGTTTCAATATCGAAGTTCGATACTGTGTTTATGTAATATCGTAGTATCGACAATATCGACTTTTATAAATATCGCAATAGCTTATTTTAAACGCTTTTTTTAAAACGTTTTTTAGGTATTGCCATTTCGAACGTTTAAAAAACGTTTTATTTAATAGTTAAAAAAACGTTTTAAAAACGTTCATGTGCTTACTGGGTAGTCTTAACTAAACTTTGTAAATAAATAAATTTAAAATACATAAATTTAACAATTTAACAACTTTACTGGTCTAACCCTAAATCAGAGAAAAACTAATAGACAGTAAAATACCTAATAGTGGCAATGGTATATTATATATATTAGCGTTTTTCTCAGATTTCGGGTTAGACAAGAAAGATTGTTCCATAGATTTATAGTTTCGATAATATTGAAATAATGGATTTCATGAAGGTATTTAAAGTTAAAATTGGAACCTTATTGTTTCAATGATGTTTTTTTAATATTGACAGTCATGTCATGTTAGCATTTTACAACAAACACTACAATATTATTTTTAACTAAAGACTTACTTGCTTGAGATAATGGAAATCCATCATTTTTATCCTTTTTATTTAAAGATGATGAAAGTTGATATGTCTTAAAATGAATCTATTGGTCATCACAATCAATATCATCTTTATTTATTATTTTTTGACCTACAGAACACAAGCATAGGTAATATTTGAATTTCATCTAACAACTTGTCTTCTCATGTAGCAATTTTACAATTTTTTTACAAATTACTTTACAGATTAATAACTTTATAAGCAAAATAGGGTATATAGTATGGTATATAATATTATAGGTTTCATACTGCTAAATATTTGGTAATAACACCAGACTATGATTAAAGAATAAAAATTTTAAAATGACATTTTTAAGTAAGTCACTCCCTTTCCTGAAACAAATCATCATATTTTTTCCTTTTAGCCTTTTTAACTATAGTAATTCCTTTATAAAAATCACTGATATTATCATTTTTAATTTTTAGAAGAAGAAAGAAGAAAAACTCTGAGAATGTTGTTCCCTTTTCTCAAATCCAAATAAATTTTTTTGCGTTAAAAGCAGTTGATAATTAGTAGAATTAAAAACTTAATCTAGTTTTTTTAAGCATTTAAGTTTACTCAACAATTAAGTTATTTAATAGAGTAAAATAATCTAGTTAACCACACCATTAAAACTTTATTAATCATATCTACTTGATTCAAGTAGAAATACAAACTCAACCTAGTTTCAACGAAGGCATACAACTTTAAACTAAAAATACTCCAATATATTTTTAAATTTAATTCTACAAGATAACAATACAAACACTTGGTTGATTTAAATATATACTAATTTATATAATTTTTACTTAAATAAATCAATTCGCCTAATCGAAGGTCACGCCATTATTTGCGTAAACATACTCTTTTAGATATTGCCGTGCTGTACGTTAAAAAAAAGATTTTTTATCACGTGAAAAAAACGTTTTAAAAACGTTCATAAGCTAACTGAGAAATTTCGTAAGTTAATAAAAAAAAAAACGTTTAAAAAACGCTAAAAAAACGTTTGAATTAACATTAAAAAAAACGTTTGCAAAAAAACGTTTTAAAAACGATTGTATTGGTTCTTTTAACGTCCGACCGTAAATTGAACGGAATTAAAACGTTTTAAAAACGTCCTGTGCTTACTGGGATATTATACGTTCATTATAAAGGCATTTTATAATGGAAGGCCCTCCATTATAAAAACCTTCCATTATAAAATGCCTTTATAATGAACGTATAATATTTGCGGAACACGAAATGTATTATAGCAGCCGTGATGTAATGAATAGAAGTATGGCTTTAAACTGGAGATCCGTGGTTTAAAGCAGGATCTGGCACTATTACAATCTCCTTATTACAATCTTTATGCAAATATAAGTAAAATATAAAGTTATCATAAATTTATATACATTTATTTAAACTAATTACAAATAAAGATATCGTTAGAAAAAAGAAAAAGATAAAAAGCAGAAAAAAGGAACGCAAAACTCGTAGAAGACCATGATGTCTTGTCACCGAGAAAACACTCACGCTGACTGAAATGATTGTGCTGGTTTGATATAGAGCTTTAATGCTTTATATCAACCAGTTTTATCAAAAAACCTTCGTTAAATTGATAGAAATGATAAATTTTCTTGGTTTAGAAGGTTCAGGAAGTTTACGTTGTTTTTAGCAATCAATCAAATAACTTTCCCAAACAAAGTTTTTATTTTTCACTTTTTCATTGTGAGCTTGGTTTTTATAAATTGGTTATTTAAATATCATAACACAAGTTTTGAAATTGATACATTTTAGTATTTTATATAATATTCAATTTTAATAATTCTTTTATAACGTTTAGTTCATTTTCGGAAAACCATAACG